TAAATCACAGTTTCAATTTCGTTACTTGCAATTGGTCTGGTCATATTTTCTATTTCTTCCTGGTTCAGTCTTGGAAGGATATACCTTTCTAAGAATTTTTCCATTTCTTCCAGGTTGTCCGTTTTATTGGCATAACACTGCTTGTAGTAGTCTCTTATGATGCTTTGTATTTCTGCGGTGTCTGTTGTAACTTCTCCTTTTTCATTTCTCATTTTATTGATTTGAGTCCTCTCCCTCTTTTCCTTGATGAGTCTGGCTAATGGTTTATCAATTTTGTTTATCCTCTCAAAGAACCAGCTTTTAGTTTTATTGATCTTTGCTATTGTTTTCTTTGTTTCTGTTTCATTTATTTCTCCTCTGGTCTTTATGATTTCTTTCCTTCTGCTAAGTTTGGGTTTTGTTTGTTCTTCTTTCTCTAGTTCCTTTAGGTGTAATGTTAGATTGTTTATTTGAGATTTTTCTTGTTTCTTGAGGTAGGCTTGTACAGCTATAAACTTCCCTCTTAAAACTGCTTTTGCTGCATCCCATAGGTTTTGGTTTGTCGTTTTTTTCTTTTTTTTTTTTTGTGGTACACGGGCCTCTCACTGTTGTGTCCTCTCCCTTTGCGGAGCACAGGCTCCGGACGCGCAGGCTCAGCGATCATGGCTCATGGGCCCAGCCTCTCTGCGGCATGTGGGATCTTCCTGGACTGGGGCATGAACCCGTGTCCCCTGCATCAGCAGGTGGACTCTCAACCACTGTGCCACCAGGGAAGCCCGGATTGTCGTGTTTTCATTGTCATTTGTCTCTAGGTATTTTTTGATTTCCTCTTTGATTTCTCCAGTGATCTCTTGGTTATTTAATAATGTACTGTTTAGCCTCCATATGTTTGTGTTTTTTATGTTTTTTTCCCTGTAATTGATTTCTAATCTCATAGTGTTGTGGTCAGAAAAGACGCTTGGTATGATTTCAATTTTCTTCAATTTACTGAGGCTTGATTTGTGACCCACGATGTGATCTATCCTGGAGAATGTTCCATGTGCACTTGAGAAGAAAGTGTAATCTGCTGTTTTTGGATGGAATGTCCTATAAATATCAATTAAATCTATCTGGTCTGTTGTGTCATTTAAAGCTTGTGTTTCCGTATTAATTTTCTATTTGGATGATGTGTCCATTGGTGTAAGTGAGGTGTTACAGTCCCCCACAATTACTGTGTTGCTGTCAATTTCCTCTTTTATAGCTGTTAGCAGTTGCCTTATGTATTGAGGTGCACCTATGTCAGGTGCATATATATTTATAATTGTTATATCTCTTTCTTGGATTGATCCCTTGATCATTACGTAGTGTCCTTCCTTGTCTCTTGTAACATTCTTTATTTTAAAGTTTATTTTATCTGATATGAGTATTGCTACTCCAGCTTTGTTTTGATTTCCATTTGCATGGAATATCTTTTTCCATCCCCTCACTTTCAGTCTGTATGTATCCCTAGGTCTAAAGTGGGTCTCTTGTAGACAGCATATATATGAGTCTTGTTTTTGTATCCATTCAGCATGCCTGTGTCTTTTGGTTGGAGCATTTAATCCATTCACGTTTAAGGTAATTATCAATATGTATGTTCCTGTGACCATTTTCTTAATTGTTTTCGGTTTGTTTTTGTAGGTCCTTTTCTTCTCTTGTGTTTCCCACTTAGAGAAGTTCCTTTAGCATTTGTTGTAGAGCTGGTTTGGTGGTGCGGAATTCTCTTAGCTTTTGCTTGTCTGTAAAGCTTTTGATTTCTTCGTCGAATCTGAATGAGATCCTTGCTGGGTAGAGTAATCTTGGTTGTAGTTTCTTCCTTTTCATCACTTTAAGTATATCATGCCACTCCCTTCTGGCTTGTAGAGTTTCTGCTGAGAAATCAGCTGTTAACCTTATGGGAGTTCCCTTGTATGTTATTTATTGTTTTTCCCTTGCTACTCTCAATAATTTTTCTTTGTCTTTAATTTTTACCAATTTGATTACTATGTGTCTTGGTGTGTTTCTTCTTAGGTTTATCCTGTATGGGACTCTCTGCACTTCCTGCACTTGGGTGGCTATTTCCTTTCCCATGTTAGGGAAGTTTTTGACTCTAATCTCTTCAAATATTTTCTCGGGTCGTTTCTCTCTTCTCCTTCTGGGACCCCTATAATGTGAATGTTGTTGCGTTTAATGTTGTCCCAGAGGTCTCTTAGGCTGTCTTCATTTCTTTTCATTCTTTTTTCTTTATTCTGTTCCCCAGCAGTGAATTCCACCATTCTGTCTTCCAGGTCACTTATCCGTTCTTCTGCCTCAGTTATTCTGCTATGGATTCCTTCTAGTGTAGTTTTCATTTCAGTTGTTGTATTGTTCATCTCTGTTTGTTTGTTCTTTAATTCTTCTAGATCGTTGTTAAACCGTTCTTGCATCTTCTCGATCTTTGCCTCCATTCATTTTCTGAGGTCCTGGATCATCTTCACTATCATTATTCTGAATTGTTTTTCTGGAAGGTTGCCTATCTCCATTTTGTTGTTTTTCTGGGGTTTTATCTTTTTCCTTCATCTGGGGCATAGCCCTCTGTCTTTTCATCTTGTCTGTCTCTCTCTCCTTCTGTTTTCTTATTCATATCTGCTAGACATAAAAAATGTTTGTTTCACTGAAGAGCACTGTAGCCATATTCCTCCTCTACCCGAGCTCCTCTGGTAATGTTCTGCCATTCGAGCCATGCTTTTCATTTACAGAGGATTAAAGACGCGAATGATGGATGAAACTTAGCAGGTCTCATGCAGTTTCCCTGCTTTGCGTGGTTTCTAGTGCCCCAGTTCCATCACTTTTCACTTTGTCTTCCTTTAATTGTCTTTGCCTGGAAGCATCAGCAGTTACTCCTGAGTGCTGTTGAGTGGATTTGACCTGAAGAGAAGCAGCAGTTGATGGGGACAGTTTGGCATCTGGAGGCTAGCTTGTCTCATTCTGGGTTAGGCAGAACTGGTCTCTTGATCTTTCAGGTCTGTCACAACTCCTTCCAGTTTCTGAGATGAGCTTATTCAGGCATTCACAGCTCCTGTGGACTGCCACTAATCCAGTTGCAATGAACTCATAGCAAGCACCATTTTTTTCTCAGTTCTTAAGAAAGGAGCAGTTATGTACTCCTGACCTCCTAATCTAGGTTATATAACCAGAAGCATTCTGGGTGGGTAGTGGGGAGATAGGGACCCAGCATTTGCAAAAGTTTTGGCGACAAAGCATAGAGTGTGTTCAGGAAAGGAGAAGTTCAGTGTGGCTGAAGTGCAGAGTCCTGGTGGGCAGGGGGAGAAATGAAGCTGGACGGCCAGGCTGGGAATAGCCAGAGGGGCCCCGAAGCCTCCTTGAGAAGAGGCTGGAGTTTATTTTAAGGGTAGTGGGAAGCCACTGACAAGTTTTAAGTAGGGAGTGACACAATCTGATTTGTATTTTATTAGAAGTTCTGCAGTTACAGTGAATAGATTGTAGTGTTTTAGTGAAAATCCTCTGGTTTCAGGGCTAGAGGGAGACTGACCCAGGTTAATGGTGACTTGGATTTGGGTAACAGCAGAGAGGATGGAGGGTAGTGGACAAATCTGAGAGATGTGACGACTGGATAGAGGGAGAGAGGAAGAAGATGCTCGAAAAAGGTGTGTTTTGTTCGCTCTCGGTCTCAGTGTGAGATCTGGCAGCAGGTCTCAGTTCTTCCATTCATGAGGTGACCGCCCTGTGTTCGCCGCCTCCCTACCTCAGAGGTTATGTTCGGATTCAAGAGCAAATACCTTTGAAGCCCTTTGAGAGGCTTGAGACCTGAGAGCAGTTAGGTCAGACTTTCGAATTTAGCTTATGGTAGATAGTAACATTTGGCAGAAAGGACTCTTTATGCTTCTGATGCCTGCTGGTATAACTCAGCCTCTGCTGTGCCTTTGGCCGGCGTGAGCAGGCTGATAAAAATGCTGGGAGAAGAATAATGCCTGTGGCTCACTGGAAAGCCCCAGTATACTTGGCTTAGTGTTATGTCCATGTTGAACAATATGGAAGCTGGACCCTTCTCTCTCCTCCCTTTTATATTCCTTAGGAGCCCTTAGAAAAAGGATCTGTAAACAGAATTAGAACAAACTGGTTTTGTCTTCAACATAAAACAGAGCTGAGATGTCGGATGTTTGAAAAGACCCTGGAAGGGAAGAAAAGACAGTTTGTAGATGTGTTCCATAATAGAGGGATCAGCTGAAATAAAAGGTGTCCTGGGAGGAATTAGGGCTGGCAGAATGGAATGGCAAGAATTATTCCAAATCATGTAGGATAACATGGGGGGGAAAAAAAGACATGTTCTTTCTTTTCCCTTTAAAGAGTGTGTGTGTGTGTGTGTGTGGTGTGTGTGTGTGTGTGTGTGTGTGTGTGTGTGTGTGTGTGTGTGTGTGTGTATGTATGTACTGGTGGGATGCTTGAAATCAAAACCCTTTTCTTGCTCTAGAAGCCTAAGGAATGGATCTGAGTGGGGCTCATACATTTCGGTCCCTCTTGCCTGGTCTAAGCAGCCAGTGTGGTCTGGCGGCCTGCTTTGGAGTTTGGAAAAGATACAGTTAACCTTTAACTTGTCCATGCCGTAAACAGACAAGTCCTGGATCTAAAAACAGTACTGACAACTGAATGAGCATGTCAGAAATACCTGAATGACAGCATGGAATTTTGCGAGCCGTTGTAGGTCTTTGAAAGAAGAGCTGAATTCACTGTCGACAGGAATTGTTATGGCTGTTATTTCATCTGGTGTAGATTTGACCATGTGGAGGTAGGGAGAATAGAATGTCATGTTCTTTCACTGAGGCTTTGCCATGAGCAACTCTATTGAAATAGAATGTCAGAGCTCCTGGTTGGAGACCCAGGAGGACTGACCATGGGCTTGGAGTGAGGCCAGGCAGTGATTACAGCTTATGAGGCAGAGAGCAATCTGTCCAAAAAGTTCAGTGAGCCTTGTTCAAGCTCCTCCTTAAAGCTTAACACTTCCACCTCTATTTCTGTCCTTCCAGAAGTGCGTACTGTGCCGCCTCAGTAGCTTCTCTGACCAACATCATCACTCCAGACCTGTTTGAGGGCACTGCTGAATGGATCGCAAGGTGAGAGAATCTGGGATTTGTCCTGCCTCTTAGACTGCAAGCGGTCAAGACTTCTAAAAAACAAAGTGCAGAAGGACCAGAGAAGGGAATATAAAATTACAAGAGATGTCTGGGTTGAAGGATTGTGCATTTCAAAAATACTTTAAAAGTTTTCTTTTTTTCCAAACTTTCTTTAGTGTGATTGGCAAGGATCAAAACCTTGGGTAAACAGTATTGGTCCGAGTCTAAATGGAGTTCAACCAGTTTGGAGAGCAATTTGGAAATATCTCAAAGATGCCCTTGCTGATGACCCCAAAATTCCACTTCTCCGGAAAATCACACCACATGCATGAAAGAGACAAACATAGGACTTGTTTATAATAGTAAAACGCTGGAAACAGATTAAATGTTCACAAGCACAAGATGGATAAGTGAGTTGTGGTGTAGTCATATTGAAATATAATATAGCAATTAAAATGAATGAACTAGAGCTACACGTATCAATATGGGTGAATCTCAAAAACACTGTTGAGGAAAAAAAAGGATGTTAAAGAAAACATGCAGATCACATTTGCTTAAAATTTGAAAACATGCAAAACAATTCTATACTGTTTATGGGAAGAATCACATGTAGTAATATAAAAACATGCTGGGAAGGATAAACACCAAATTCAGGATGGTGCTTACTTCGGGGGAGAAAGTAAAGAAAATGAGATTAAGGGAGGTCTGTACTTCTACTCAGGAGACTTCAGTTGTATCTGTAATTGTTTGTTTAAAATAAAAAAACCTGAAATGCATATGGCTAAATCAAAGCTAGGTGTTAGGTACATGTATCTTCTATATATTATTTGCTATACTTTCATGGATCCTTCAAATTATTTCGTAATTTTAAAAAAAGGTATAGTAGATTTATATGTATTATTGAGGAATTATATCCAAGCTGTATTTTATTTTTTACATTTTAATTTTTATCAAAGTAGTACTTACTACTATAAAAATACAATTTTCAGCTAAACCAAATGAGATACTGTGATCATATTTAGTTTTTTTTTTTGTGGTACGCGGGCCTCTCACTGTTGTGGCCTCTCCCATTGCGGAGCACAGGCTCCGGACGCGCAGGCTCAGCGGCCATGGCTCACGGGCCCAGCCGCTCCGCGGCATGTGGGATCCTCCCGGACTGGGGCACAAACCCGTGTCCCCTGCATTGGCAGGTGGACTCTGAACCACTGCGCCACCAGGGAAGCCCCATATTTACTTTTTTGTATAACTTTTACTTTCCTGGAATTAATTATTACCTCTTAATTCCCGAATTTTCTGCCAGAGCTATAAAAGTATTCTCAATACAGTTAAACACTTCAAGTAATATATCAGTTCTCTTTTGTGTGTGTGTGTGTGTGTGTGTGTGTTTGTGTATGTATGTGTGCACGTGCGTTTTGAGTTATCCCTCCTGGGGCCTCTGCCCTCCTGCTTCAGACTGGACAGATTGCTCTCAGCTTGCTGCACAGCAGGCATCCAGAAGCTTCCTTTCAGGAGGAAATTTACTTT